GGCAAACTTGTACCAATATCTGACTCTGTTTCGTCACCCGATCAAAACCTTAAAGTGAAACACTTTCTTCTCACAACCCCAAAATCCAAAACCCTAGTTTTCTTCTTGTTTTCCTTCGCACAAAACAATGTATGGCTGCCCAAGTTTTCTTTCTCTCTCGGCTAAAAACACACGCACAAAAGGTTGTGCTACCTTGCTTTTATAAGCATCAAAAACAAAAAGCCAAAACCCATTTGAATTGGGTTTTGTTTCCCCGGTCAAAAAATCAAAACCAAAGCTTAATAACTCTTGGTTTTATTTTCCTTATTGTTAGCCTACTTGAGGGGAACTAATCCGGACCCAACATGAATCAACCCGGAAAAAAAGAATTCTGGAACATATATTCATTTCCTTTGGACGAGGAGATCTGACCACATCACTCATGCAAGAATTGGAAAGAATAGATCTTTTTAAGTGTTCCTTTATGTTACTAATCTGATGAGAATCAATACCTAGTTACATCCTTCTATAGTTTTATTTTTGTTTCATACTTTTTATTGAATTTTATTTTTATTAATCTCTTCGTCCCATAATTATTGTCTAATTTGAGTTTTTATTTCTAGTATAAATTTTACTAAAAGTGACATCTCAAATTGGACAATAATTTTAGGATAGAGAGAGTACAAATTATACTTAAAGTGAAACTCAAAACAGGATAATTATTTTAAAATAGAATAAATACCTACTTTGTCATGCTCTATGGACAATATTGCACCCTATTACTCACTTTATTCTAAAGAAATAGTTCAAATTGAATTAGAAGATTTATACTGTTTTTTTTAGACATGGGAAGAAATATCTATCGTTGTTACTATCTCTACGAATAGTTTAAAAAAAAGAAGAAGAAGAAGAAGTAGCAGCAGTAACAGCAAATAAGTTAAAAACAAAAGAAGAAAGCAAATGTGTCTTACATTATAATACTCCTTCCATTCTAAAATATATTATTATACACCATTTTAGGGTTTATAAAGTTTTTAAAAATATATGTTGTTTTACAAAATCGATGTAGCTTTTTCACATTTTTTCAAAATAATCCTTCCATTAAAAATGAAATAATATTTAAAATGATATTGTATTCATCTGTAATAAATTGTATAAATAATAAATTAGAATAATTTTATTATTTCAAAGACATTATTTAATGTTTTATTTAATGTTTAATTTTGCCTAGTATTTTATATGAAATACCCTGGCCTAGAACAGAAATTCCTTCCTCCACTAATTAATTGGTCGGAACTGGGAACAAACGTCATTCATTACAAGCTACAACTCTTTATTAATTCATATTATAATTTTTAATTTGAGACTGAAGAAGTGATGAGTGTTATCCCACCAAGGATAGACCACACAAAATTGTGAGCAGAAACGTCCCTGATCAAGGGGTAGAAATGCCATCATGTGAGAAGCAGTTTAGTGCTTGTTTGGACGTCATCTTACATTTCATTTTGCCACTTAAAAGTGGAAAGTGTTTCAAGTTAAAAACTAAATAGGAAATGAAAATGTTGTTTGGATGGTATATTGAGCAAAAAGTTGTTTGGATGTTGGTTTTGAAAAAAATATTTTAAACTACATTTTGAAATATTAAGTGCGAATCATCACTAAATAATTAAATACTATCAATTATAGTCACTTTAAAAAAGAACTTTTCCAAAAACAATCACTAAACAACGGAAACTTGGCAAATTTGTCACTCTAAGATTTTCTTTTGTTAGATTTCGTCACTGAACTACTTCTTTTTCAAAAATGGTCATTACACTAACAAAAAGTCTTTCAAGTTGGAATTTAAAATGTAAATCAGAAAGTTGTTTGGATGATGTTTTCTTTTCCATTGAGTTTTGTGTTTAAGAGCTAAAATGAGTTAAAATGTAAAATGAGTTGACAAACGGGCTCATCAAGGGCAACTGCTTTGGTATGGAGATGTAAATATGATGATAATTGGGTGCTCGAGGATCAAAGTTAAGAAATTATCTTGTTAATCTTAATTAATTGGAGTAAAAAGATTAATTTATAAATTCGTATTTCCATACGTACGGTATATATTTGTGTTTCTTGAGAAATTTTTAGAAACCATATTTTTATATTATGGATAATTATACACGTATTTTACGTTTATTAGGTTCAAGACGTGTATTATCGATTCATATTGTAAATTATTACGAGAGATACCAAAGGAAAATTAAACCAGATTTGGATAGGTTTCTATCATAGTTCAAAATTTTGCCACCACTGCATTTACCTCTTTTGTCCATATCAAGAACACGTACGTATCCGTGAAGAAATTTGGTCCATTAATCGGAAAAGTTAAATTCATCGTTTCGTGAAAAACGTTGAAATCAACTCAGATCATATTCTTCGATTGATCCATACATGTTGGTTTCACTTTAATTATCAGTCTCAATGGAATGAAAAAGAAATATGCACCAGTAATTCCACATGATGGTGTTTTGTTTCCGACTATATATCAGAACCAGATAAAGTTTCTTACCACTAGACTATGTCGCTTGGTCTCACATCAACCTTTATAAGCTTTTGAATCTGAGTGTGTAATGGAAACTTAATACTCCATGTTTAAACAAAAATAATTAAAAAATGTAATGTATGTTTGAGTGTTGTGGATTTAGTTATGCTCGATTTACACAAGTTTAGCTTCATTAAGATGATTTTTGTATTTCTATCTGTTCTAAAATAGTAGTCTTATTTGTTGAACTAATTCTTATTTTAAAACGAACAGTTCGTTATCCCTGATCTTGCACATATTTAAGAACAGTTACGACGGCAAAGTTTATTTCCCTTTTCTATTATTTGGAAAATGTGGAAGCAAACCATTTTCATCTCGTAACTGCTCTTTCTTATTCCCTTTTCCTGAGAGATCAAGCTGTCCTTTCCTGTAGTAGAATTTATTTGCGTGGACATAAATGAATTTGTTCACAATTATTTGAAAAAGTCATCCAGTTTAAAATTGAATCACTAAGGGCGCATTCCTTCCGTCTTTAAATAATTGTTTAGTTCAAACTTTCTTTTTTTTGTTTATTATAAAATGGAGGATTAAAAGTGAAATGTCAAAATAGAAAATCAAACTGAAATGTAATTAATATAATAATATATTGTCGCTATCTTAAAAAAATAGTTTACGTTGAGTTTTGATATTAATAGTAAAAATAATACTTTTTCTTGTAAAAAATAGAAATAATCTATATTGAGTATGGAGATTTATACTTAAAGCGATATAAATCTAAAACCCCAAAAACTTTTTTTTTAAAAAAAATAGATGTAATACAAATATTAAAATTTAACGTGAACTATTTTTGTTTAGATGTAATTAGTAAAGACGCTGATGAAGAAAATTCTCTAACGAATGGACATGACGTTAATCGCCGTATGACTTCAATCGCCTGTATAAAAAAAAAATCTGCAGGCCTTAACAATTCCGCTTTAATTGAAATTCATATTCACAAATCTGGAAGGAAACAAAAGAGAGTTTAAATCAAAGTATTGGTTTGTAGTCCAGATACTGGTCACTAAGTAAATTATTGGCCCCAAAAGAAATTAAGAAGTCGTAAACTCCTCCCTGTGTGCCAAAAACATATTCATAATTCATATTGACATCTGATTCATAGTTTTGCAATACGATTCTAAGTCGACTTTTAGAGGTTTAATCAAAGATCGGATTTCGTTTGGATTGATGTGCGAATCTCATGATTGTTTTCTTCTTTTTTTTTTTCTTTTAATGGAAAAAAAGGTTATTACCTCCTTAGTTATACAAAAGAAATGATAGATAGATATGGGTGTTTATTAAAAAAATAAAAGAATATAAAAACGATAATACATTTTGGAAAGTAGAGAGTTCAACATTTCTAGGCTTAAGTAATTTCCTTCATTGAAAAAAGATTTAACTTTATAAAGAAGATTTAACTTTACAAAGCTCAATAATCTCTCCTCCTCATTTTGTTATACAATACACTCTTTGTCTCACTAAAATAATTCACATTAATTGTAATTTGTAAATTATATTAAAAATAATATATAAAATTTTCCGGACATCAGTGTTGTAATAATTGATTTTCTTTATTATTTATTTTGTCTCATTTCAGTTTCTCTTGATAAGTTTTGGTAATCCGTCGCATTCTCGCGTTCCTTGAGATAAATTCGTACATTCTTCGGTGTCCTTGTTATGTTCTTAAGCAAGCGGCCCGTACATGACATTATTTGATGGGCCAACAGTGTCCAATGCGTCTTAGTTCTTACTGAGGCCTCCAGGATCCAGATAACCTACACTTCATCACAGCCCATTTAATACAGTTGGCAGTAGGGCATGTGCTTTAGAGGAAAGTTCAATTTCGGAGGCGTATTTACACAGTCACTTAATAGTAGTCCATCAAGTTGGAAAAACTGACTATAACTATCGTACAAGTGATTTAGAGAAAAAAAAAAAAACTTGTTAGTGTATGTATATATATATATATATATATATGTCGAGAGGCCCTATTATATGACCTTGTGTATTCGGAAAAGGAGAAAAATGTCTACATATGCATGGAAGATGATGCTTTGAATTTGAGTGAACTTATGAGCAATCAAAAAAAAGAGAAGGTTGAAACTTGAAATAATAATAAGAACAAAATTGTCTGCTTAAAAAAATAAATAGTAAAATTATTATTTCCATATGGATATTGACCACCTTCATTTGTAATGCGGGAGGAATTTACATATTTTACCTATATTTGACACTTATAAACTATCCATTTTTATCCCAAAATAATTATCTAATTTGGATTTTCATTTTCGATATAATTTGCACTAAAAAGTGAAAATCCAAACCAGATAATTATTACATGCATGAAGAAGGGAGTAAAATAAGACATACAGTATCAAGCGGCTGCAGATTTAAGGGTTTTAAAGGCAACTCTATTTTGTCACATGCTTAGAGTGCTTTATTTATTCTATGACACTGATTCCAATTCTTACACGGCGGCGGTAGGATTAGTAATGGTGAGTTCGCTGAGAAAATCAAGCAAATTCAAGGAGGAGGAACCACCTTCCGCCACCGCCTCTTCCGCCATCTTCTTGTATTTCAGTGCATTTGCTTTCAGCTCCGCGGCCTTGGGTCCGGTTGTGGCTTCCATCAACCGGTTTTCGATTTCATCCCTGGGAATCACCCTCTTCTCAAAGTCACCCCTCGACAACCTGAGCCCGACTTTGAATTCATCCACTAAGTACTTCGCATCCGTCACCTGATCCCCTAAACTCGGGAAAGTCAGCACCGGCATCCCGGACGAAAGTGCCTCCATCGTCGAGTTCCATCCACAATGAGTCACGAAACAGGCAACGGAAGGATGAGCCAGGACTTGTTGCTGGTTGCTCCACTGCACAATTCTACCTTTTTCACCAACCTTTTCCATGAAACCTTCTGGAAGGTCCGTCTGAGGAGGCCTCATCACCCACAAGAAAGATACGCCCGAGTTCAGGAGCCCGTAAGCGATCTCGTCCACCTGTTCCTGCTTCAGGATGACAGCGCTGCCGAAGGAAATGTACACCACGGAGGAGACGGGTTTCGAGTCGAGCCAGTCGGTGCAATCATCAGCGGCGTACACGTTGACGCTCACGTTGGTTGACCCGGGAGTTTTGTTGATTGGATACCTAAATAGGGGACCAATTGGCTTGATGGGGCAGAGCTTTGACATGTAATTGATCACGTCGTTTTCAAGCTCCTGGAATGTCTCCATCAGTACACAGGCATTTTTGGACAGGTTCTTGAATTGTCCCAAGATTGAGTTGGTCAAAGAGGGATACTGAGTGTAAGGATGCAAGAAACTTGGGATTTCGTCATACTTCAAAACAGGCATACAGGGCAACTGGACATCCAATTCAGGTTGGGATTCAGTGGGGAATTGAACGAGTTTGAGGTAATAATGGTAATAAGCCGAAAAACAGGCAGCGGATTGAACCCATAATGGAGCACAAGGGATACGAAGGGACTCGGCTACTTCAGCAACCCAAGGAATGAAGCAGCTGTAAATCATGCAACAAACAGGCCGGCTTTCTTCGGCGTTTTTCTGGATCATTTTCGGGAGTTTCTGTTTCCCGATTTTCTCCAGATGAGCGGCGTGCTCATCGGGAACCGTGATCCCCTCGCTTTCGTCGTCAAAGAACTCAAACCTGATCATTCCATCACCAAACGGGGTGGGTTCTTCAGAGATGTTTTTGTTGGCTTTTCGAATTTTGTCACCAATGGTGTCAGGTGCAGAGAGAGTGACCAGCAAACCCTTTGAAGCAAGAATCTTGCCAAGCCTGAGCAAAGGATTAACATGGCCTTGGCCAGGATACGATACTAAGAAAATGTGAGGAAGAACGACGGCGCCATTAGAAAGGTGACCCACCATTTTAGTTGATTTTTCAAGTTTCAGAATTAAAATCAGGATTGCAGAAGGGAGAAAAGAACTCTGCGAGCTCAACTGTGTGAGTCCGTGGATGATGCTTGCTTAGCGTTCTTCTCTTTCCATTTATATACTACAATTTTTCACCTTTTTTTTCTACATTAATTAAGTCATGCAAAGTGTAAGACTGTAAGGATTAAATGGTACACAACCTCATGACTGACACAACCTTAAAAATTCTAGACTGATATATACCAATACTGCGAATTAGCATTAAAGATGGTATGGACCATTAAGAGAATGGCGCAAATTAATTGATGTTATTATTGTACTAAACAAAGTGGTCCCTTCTGTTGTATTTTAAAAGCAAATTCAATTCCACCATGTGATTAATTTGTTCTAGGGTTTCTCAATTCCAACCCTCCAAATTAGGTGATGCAGTTTAAAAATGCATGCTAGCATTTTCATCTAATAATTTTACAAATTGCATAAGCCACCAATTGAAACTTTTTTTTTTCTGTGCAATTACTGAATCTCGTATGCGTTATTTTCTTTGTTGTAGAAAACTAGTCCAAATTACAGTTTGTGATTTGTACTTTTTTTTTAAGTATAAATCACAAATTACGTGTAATGTGTAAACTATTTTTTCGGGACATATAGTATATTTCATTTTCTAACCTAATTTGATTACATTTGGCATTTTCTTTAATGAGTGAAGTTAAGACAAGCATAAACCGCAACCATTTCTTATCATGTCATGGTCTAATTTAACTGCTTTCCAATCTGAATTGTACAGCTTCTTTCTCTAGTTTTTGCTATTTAGAATTGAACATCACGTAAGCCGTGTCTAACTGGAATGATTTTTGTACCGTGTTTATATTTTGTTTGAGTTAGTTGGGAGACGGTGTTTGAATGAACTAGTTTTAGCAATTAGCCGCTTTCTTTTAAGGGGTGAATTTTGATTTGCGAAGTTAATTTAATCTAATTCTTAAGTACACAGATGTTCAACAACGTCTTTGTCTTTTCTTTCCTGAAATTTCAAGGGTAACAAGTGCATGCCTATAATAGTCAGTGAACTTTTTACTGATTTTTGGTGCATCAACTGGTAAAAGTTCATATTTGCTAAACCTAGTCACGCACTCTCTTTTTTTATATCTTAAATCTTAAGATAAACCTAGTCACACCATTAATTGATATATGTGAAAATGACTCATCGGCAACCCCTTATTGTCATGGTACATATAAACTAAAATTACAACATGAGAATTGAGAAGGTTACATAGATTTGTTTTGTGTGTATCGATGGAGTATGGATAGTAATCCCTTTTGGAGGTAGGTTCATAGTCAGTTTGAAGAACATGGAAGTAGTTGGAAATTGGAATAAATAATTTCGATGGCAACAAGAGAGATGTAACGGTTGATCACTGTATGATTAACAATATTGTCTTCTCTCTTTTTTTTTTCCCCCTTTCTGAAACTATATGCCAATATTCCTTCTTCCCTTTTTCTCCTTGTGTAAGTAACCACGAGGATAACGTACTGCGTAACTGACCGTATGACACCCCAACCATGTGTTATTCTTTTTAATTAAAAAAAATACTGATGAAACAAAATATAATATATATTCTTTATATTTCAAAATAATTATTCTTTTTGAATTTTTATTTTTTATACAATTTGTTATTAAAATAAAAATCGAAATTAGTTAATCATTTCATGTGAGATAGTGAGAGGAATATCTTACAAGAACTTTCCAGCCCGCCGTGAGTACTACCTGCCGTATCCTCATTCATTTACTAATTGACACACATAAATGATAAATGTAAGCTGCAAAGTTCATCAGTTTTGAGGAATGAAAAATCAAATTGTAGTTTAAGTATGATGTTATAGTTGTATCATATTTTTCGAATGTAATAAATAAGTTATTTTCAATAGTTAGTCTCTTTTTCGTACTATAAGAAAAAACTTATAAATGAAAAATGGTAACGTAGTATATGTTTTTTTTTTTTAATGATGTAGTAGTAGCTATTCAATTAAGCTATTTTCCACTCTCTACTGCCTGGAATTTCACCACGATAGTGTCTTCGAATTCCTAGCTTTTCTTTTTTCGCCTTCCCCTAAGGTGGAGTATGGGCCATAATCCTCATTGGAAATTCATCTCGATTTCATTTAGTACCGCGAATGTTATTTTCTAGAACTCTCATTTTGTTTCCAAAAAAAAAAAAAAAAGAACTCTCATTTTGACAATTCTTTTAATTTTTGACTAATAATAGAATAGATTAAAATGGGTTCAATTATATCAGTACTTTTTGAAAATTAGTGAACATCAATATATTGAATGTATCAATACATTTTTGATCGTATTTAAATAGTTCACACCCCCTTCCCCCCTTTTATTTTCTTCTCCATCTTTAGGTTTCCTGTCAAATCAAGCTTCGGAGGTCCCATTGCAATCTGTTTGGAGTTTGGACGGGAATTGTCGTTCTCTCTCCCAAATTGAGAATGATAATTTAAGAGAAAAAGAAAAAGGTGAAATATGTCCATTAATAAGATGAGATAAAGAATGTGTGGGGGCAAATACTGAAACTCCATGCATGCATTTTAGAGTAGTATATATGTATAAACCCCCCAAAAAAAAAAAAAAAACCTTTTTTCGAGTGGTTGTGTGTATATTTCTACCAGAGGTTTTCGAAGGGTAATCTCTTCCCCCACAAAATTGCAGTAAGATAAGAAAAAATAATAAAAATCCAGAACGTACATAGTTTCACCAAAAGAAGTTGAATATGCCTATCCAACAAGATAACGAGCCTCATGCATTTTTCTTAAAAATTGACCCAACATGCACACAGAAACACAAACTGTGTTAATTCTTCTTTTGTCTATCCTTTTCCGGGAGTTTTTTTTTCGGAAAAAAAAAAATTAACACAGTTTTTTCAGGAAGTTAAATGCTCTATCATATGAAGAAGAATAGTCTATTCCAAAAATAAATAGTCTAAATTGAGTTTTAAGATTTTTATTTTTAAAAAAATATAAATTTCAAAATTTTATGTGAGCTATTATTTTGGAATAAAGAAAGTGTGATTCTTGCACATCATTTAGCTTGCCTGGTTCTCCAAAGCAATAAGAATACGATAAACTAATCTTGCATATCCAGAATTAAATACATCTTCTGTCCTAAAAGAAAAATTACATCGAGTTTTTATATTTTTATTAATTTTACTGTAAATCTCAAAATTTAGAATGGATTATTTATTCGATACAAAGAGAATATAGAACAATATTGAATTTTTGATAATTTAATAATAAAAACACTAAAAACGAAAACAGTTCGGACAACCATTTCGTCCATAATTTAACTAACTCATATCTATATTGACAAACCATCATATTGTGTTTAATTTTTTCTTGGTGGCCCTAATTTATAAAGAGATCTTTACACAGGGTATGTGCTTTGTTGTTTCATTCTATCCTTTACTTAATGCTCTTCTTACCGCATAGTATGTATTTACATTTACCCATAACTTCATTGACAGTTCGACAGTCCTCCTTTTCTTTCATTTATTTTTGTCCGGTCTTTTCGGATGTCAATTTGTCAGCACACTTCAAAACACATTTGTCTTTCTTCTTCTCTTTAATTTACATACAGTTAAAATATAGTACCGTCTACTTCAAATGATTCTTCTGGTTGAGACGGACCGATAACTTTGAAAAATTGTATATTTTAAAATTCCTTTTATCTCAAAAAAAAAGTTCACATCTAATTGAGATTTGAAATAGTAGATAACTGAAAATAGGTCTAAAATAATACAGCCATAGATATATACTCTTTAACTACACATTTTCTAGTTTTTATCCTATCAGTTATTAATCTATCAACTTTAAACCATCGATTTGATCCATCGGTAAATTGAGGAGTTACCAATATTAAATTATTCATTAGTTGTTAAAAGGGAGGAATGAAAAAGGCCAAGGGTTTTCAATTTTTTTAGCCAAAAACACGCAGCATTGGGGGTGCTTGATATGATAGAGGATCCCATCTATGTTAAATATCGAGATGAACTAAAAAAATAAATAAAAATAGTGTAACTGTGGGATAGAAGTTCGAGTTTTTGTTGATCCTCGATCATGTAATATTGAGCTACCGTAATTTTGTTGTTGCTATATCAATATATATCTCAATCATTAAATAAGAAGATTGCGAATTGCAAAATTTATATTTTTGAAATGAACGGGACCATTTTCAGACTTCAGATATCATGTCGCACTAGATTTCCCATGATTCCAGGACAATAATTAGGTAAGAACATTAAAATAAACCTGTACAAATTGACAAGCACGATTTTAAGAGGTTGAAAATAATTTCATCGTAGAGAATATTCAAAACATAATGCCAGATTAATTAGCAATGATAAGTGCATGAAAAAATTTAATAATAATGTGTCTAAATCTAAATTATTCAATTAAGCATAAATGCAAAAACCCAAATGAAAAGTGTAAAAATAAATAAATAATATTTTATCTATAATTTCTTCCCCATTTTCCTTCTAAATCATTTCATGTATGTATCATTATTGATATAAGAATAAGTCCAAAAAAAAAAAGTTACATTTGAAAAATCTTTTCTTATTACCTATTTATTTATATACTCTATCCGACCAAGAAAAAAAATCTCATCAACAATTATAACCTTTTTTAGTTTTGGTGAATTCAATCAAGGTAAAATCATTATTATCCAAAAATTTATAGTTGTATCCTTTTAGGTTGTTTCCAAATCAAAATAATGGTTTACTTTTTTTATTTTGTAGATATTTTAGTCATTTTAATCAAATTAATTTTGATTTTTACGAAACTAGATTTTTTGGTTGCTTTTTTTTTTAATGAAGTTGGACTACATATGTTCTATATCAGAAAAAATAAATAAATTTACATACTTGATTTATGTATATATATACTAGTGATGTCTGGTCGCGCATTGGTCCAATATATCTGTAGATCTTAGAAATATTTGTATCTGAAAAAAAAATATTTTGTATTTGGCCCGATATATTTTAGAAATATTTGAAGAATTTTAGAAATGTTTTATAAGTGTGATGTTTGTATTTGGCAAAAAAATAAATTGTATTTAGCCCGGTACGTTTTAGAAATGTTTGAAGATTTTAGAAATATTTTATAAGTGTTACTTCTTAAATATAAATAAACTTGATCAAATATATGTCTTGAAATAAATGATAGACAAAATA